ACACACACAGTCAGAATGAGTCAACGTGCACCCCTGACAGCTCATTCTGACTGGACGCGCTGGCAGTGAACCGAGCGAGGGTGAAGGGCATCGAAATTCAAAATGTGGGAATGGAGATGTTGAGTTTCGTTACGATGAATTCAGTAAAATTATAGTTAGAAAAAAAAGGGTGGCGCTTATAATCCGTAAGCCTTCAGGGGTGCGCTTATAATCGAGGACCGGATATAAGCGCCCTCATCCTTTTATAAGCGCCGGCGCTTATCCGAGGCCTGCGCTTCTATCCGGGGGCTTACGGTATAGGAGTACGACCTAGGCTTAGTAGCCTAGGCCACAGTAGGACTAGAACGAGGAGGCGCCAAGTACAAGCTAGGAACTTGTGCACTAACAGAATTGAGAAGAGATGGATTGTACTAGCAAGCAGTAGGATACAAATAGGAAACCCTAAGGGGCTATACTCACTATTGAGTACCCCACTGCAAGCTACACAAACAACATATTCTGACACACCCCCATAGCCAAAGTGGGATGTAATCAGCACAATGAACAAGCATAGCAGTAGTTCACAATTATGAGCAAAGCTAGTGGTAGTTACAGTGGGCAAGTGAGGAGGAGGAGGGACTGTGAGAGGAGAGAAGATGGGAGACGACGCCTGAAGCGACAGACACACGGGCAACGGGAACGGCCGGCACAGTGGCTACCGGGACAGCGCCCCGGGCTACTGGAGTAACTGGCTCATGGGCTACGAGGAGCTACAGGAGCAACGGACCCACGGGCGACAGGCGCAGCAGGCTCTCTGGGCTACCAGGACAGTGCGCCCCGGACTACAGGTGCTGTAGACGACAAGACGGCTGCCTCCACTCAACCTCCCCCAACTGTCCCACACCCCCAGTTTCACCCCTAGCTCCACTCCCACATCACCCCCTTAGCTCCACTCCCCACAGCTCCCACACCTCCACCCCCCTCAGCGGCAGCTGCAGCAGTGGGAGACGAAAAAGGAGGAGGGGAGAACCCACACCTCTCACCCCCATGCTTGCCACCCCACACCCCCACCACCGCGGAACGCACGGCGCAATGGGAGCAATGGGCAGCACGGGGGGGGGGGGGGGGGACGGGACGGGCTTCCGCAAGGGCGGCTCGCGCGGGTCCTGGGGCGGCTGCTGCAGGCACGGGCTGCTCCAGGGGCGGCTGCTGCAGGCACGGGCTGCTCCAGGGGCGGCTGCTGCAGGTGCGGGCTGCTCCAGGGGCGGCTGCTGCAGATGCGGGTTGCTCCAGGGGCGGCTGCTGCAGTGGCGGGCGGCTCCAGGGGCGGCCGCTGCAGGTGAAAGGTAGGAGGAGGGGGGGGGGGGGGGGGAAACGCACGGCCCCCAGGGCGCCCCGAGGGGCGCCGAGAAGGGAGCCGCGCGGCCCCCCCTTGGGGCGCCGCGACGGGCCCCCAGAGCCGCCTCGACTGGCGACGGGGAGGGCGCCGCGCGGGCCCCCTGAAGTCGCCTCGACGGGCGACGGGGAGGGCGCCGCGCACAGCCCCCGAAGTCGCCTCGACGGGCGACGGAAGGGGACCGCGCGCGGCCCCCGTGGTCGCCACGACGGGCGACTGGTGGGGAGGCCGCGCGGGCCCCCAAGGTCGCCTCGACGGGCGACGGGAGGGGAGGCCGCGCGGGTCCCCGAGGTCGCCTCGACGGGCGACGGGAGGGGAGGCCGCGCGGGTCCCCGAGAGCGCCTCGACGGGCGCTTCGACGGGAGGGGACCGCGGAGGCCCCCCCAAGGGCACCACAACGGGCGCCACGGAAGGGAAAACCGCCAAGCGCCCCGAGCGCGCGGCGGGCAGAAATTAGGGTTTCGCCGCCGCACACCACGGGGCGCGCGGCGGACAGGACGGCAGCGGAAGCGGGTGGTGGGCCCATACACAGGAAGGCGGCAGACATGCCGCCCTCTGATACCATGTCAAAATATAGGAGGAGTACGACCTAGGCTTAGTAGCCTAGGCCACAGTAGGACTAGAACGAGGAGGCGCCAAGTACAAGCTAGGAACTTGTGCACGAACAGAATTGAGAAGAGATGGATTGTACTAGCAAGGAGTAGGATACAAATAAGAAACCCTAAGGGGCTATACTCAATATTGAGTACCCCACTGCAGGCTACACAAAATTATAATTTTTAAACACACATGTAGTGTTTTTTAAAATTGTGTATTGTGAAAGCGAAGCTGCTTGTACTGCACAATTGGCATCGTCGAAGCGCGCTAAACGCCCTTCTCCAACTACAAAAACCGTGGGTTGGAGCTCATTTCCCTCCACCCACGTTTCTCAATTTTCAAACGGCTCACTCAACATTTTCCGCTCGAGTAGTTTTTCCCTCCAAGCTGGCTAGGATTAAATCGCTTCCTAGAGGCGAGTCACCCTCTACTTTACTCAGCGACATTTTCAACTTCAATCGCTCAACGATGGCACCTACGCCGACACTTAACAACGGGAACTCGTCAACCCCCGCTTCCGACTCCGACCGTAACGCCCGCGATTCTGCGGGCGAACGCCGTAACAAGCGTCGGGCAGAAGACGGACCTTCCGCCCCGACTGCAGTGGACGTGCTGCTGGGCGGGCTCGAGGTCCACAAAAACGCCGAAACCCAGCAGCACCCTTCGGTCCCTGTGGCGCCAGTGGCGCCTGTGGCGCCAGTGGCGCCTGTGGCGCCAGTGGCACCTGTGGCGCAAGTGGCGACGGGGACTGGCGCGGCACACGCGACTGACGCCGAGCACACGCCAGCACCCGCTGCTGGACCGTCGCGTCAGCGTCAGAGGAGGCGGACTGCAGTCTCCTCGTCTGACGCGACCGCCGCCCCTGCGCTGACGCAGGCGTTGACCCCGGACCAGGTCAACGCGCTGCTGTCCCTTCTACAGCAGCAACCCGTCAGCGTTATAGCCGCGGAAACTGCACTACCCGCCGCATCTGCGTCGGCTAAAAAAGAAACTGCAAAAAAGGAGAAAGGCACACGGGGAGCACGGACGAACCGGCATGACAACGACGCAGCGACTGCCGCTCCCCCTGCTCCAGCGGTCGACAACGACACCGACGACTCTGAAGATGAAGCCGGTGAGGCTCCAGTCAACAATGTTAATTTTATTGGCACGGAAAACCTTCCCCCCCTCCCTTCTTCTAATCTTACCTTCTCGGCGGCAACCTTCGTCAACGACTCCGTGCGAGAGCAAGCGGAGCTACTGGAGGACCTGCGGGCGTACCTGCTGCACGCCGAATACAAGGCGCAGCGCGGTGATCCGGCGGGCGGACTCGAACTCATCTCACACGCTCTCAACCTCATCGCGGGGCGTTTCGAGGTGCTTCAAGTGGAGGACGCCTCCGACTTTCGCACGGCGAAGCGCTTTAAGCTGTACCAGCAGAAGAGCCTGCTGACTTCTCGACCCTTCAAGCAGGCGGTCGCGGACATGGCAGCGATGGACCGTGCGGCAAGCGGATACGCTCGTGTCAACCGCGGCGGAAACAACGGGCCGATGCCGTTCTTACCCAAGCGAGGCCCCCCGCCCACGGCCAATTGCCGTGGGTTCCGGGGCTCATGCTTCCGCTGCGGCCAGCCGGGCCACGTGGCAAGTGCCTGCCCTCGGAACGGGCATGGAGGCCAGGGACCCGCTCCGGTGGTGTAGGAGCGGGCCATGAGACTAGGCGCTTGGGCGCTAGGCACGGTGCACTCTTGAGTGCGAAAACCGTGGGCAACCCTAGGGGTTTGCGATGGCAAGAGGCCAGCCCTAGTAAAGGGTGGGATAGGCTTGGGCCTAGGATAGGGAAGGGGAACAACAACCCCTCGGTCCCATATGTTGGCCACGTGGTGGCATGCTAGGAAAGCATTGCTATGTGTGTTGGTTGATTTAATAAAAACTACATTCCTAAAGGCCTATGGTTTTGGCAAAGAGAGAATGAGAGAAAGCACAATGGACAACGGTGTCCATGGCCCTAGGCATCAGCCCCTACGCACTAAGGGCAGGCACAACCATGTCCTACCAAGTGGACGACGGGGCAAGAAAAAAAAAAAAAAAAAAAAAAAAAGGGGGAAACGAGGAGAAGAAGAGACATGCGTTGACATGCGTTACCCATTTGTAATGAGAACGATGCCAATTGATAAGAAAGAAAGCAAGCTTTCTCAATCAACATATTCTGACATTACTGTTTGCTGTTGCGGTTCGGTACAGTGACGACTCGGGCAACTGCTCAGTACGGTAGCGAGTCAGTTGTGTGTCCTTACTGTCGCGCTGTACTTGTCAGGTCAAGGGTCGCTGACCTTTGACTTTCGCGTGACCTCCAACAGTTGTTTCAACCTCCGAGGGTTGACTCGCCGTTGCTTCGATATGTTCTGCTTCGCTTCTGACTTGGTGTTTCGACACGACAGAGGCGCGTTTAGATTACTTGTTCCCAACATCGAGCACCCTACCCTCGCTTGCCACTGCATTCGGTCAGACCAGACCCCCAAGCACACTACACTTGCAAGCTTATTCCAGATTTTCCGTGCGCCTTTATTCAAACTAATCCCCCACCCACATGTCCTCGCGCCCTCCCACCCTTACGCCCTTCCACCCACCTCAATCTAGCACTCTAGTCTAGAGCCTCGAGAACAACCGCCGCAGTGTGGAGCCAAAAGCATCCTTTATTCAGACTGCTTGCGAGCCCTCAAGCCGCACGCAAGCCTTCAAGCCTTCACGACCTCACCCCATCATGCCCTCATGCCTCAACCCGCCACTCCAGGTCCTCATGAGCAGCCAAGGTGTTACCAAGGTGGGAAAAGCCAATTTTATCAAACAAATTTGCGAACAACTTGCGAGCAACTTGTGAACAACTTGTGAACAACTTGCGAACAACTTGCGAGCCCTCAACCTCAAGCCTTCAAGCCGGCATGCCTCCACGACGCCCTTCCCACCCTCATGCCTTGACACGCCACTCCAGGTCCTCATGAGCCCCTCAAATGCCTTCTTCACCCCGCAACCTCATGCCCCCACATCTTCACGCCTCCACCCGCCACTCCAGGTCCTCATGAGCAGTCGCGGCTGAAAACCCGCCCAGCACCCGCGCTGACTCAGCGCCAGCACGCGCGCTGTCAGCATCGTCATCCTCCTGCAGTGACAGCCTGGCGAGCGAATCCAGCAGCTCCTGGGTCGCACCAGTGCTGCTGACGGTCCCTCTCGTGCCGCCGCCGCTGCCGCCGCCGCTATTGCGGCCGGCAGTGCTGCTGCTGGTGATGCTGGTGGTACTGCCACTGCCAGAAGATATAGTGGGGCCACCGAAGATGGTGCTGGTGGTAGTAGAGGAGGAGCTTGTAACGGATCCCCCAGGTTGCGACCCAGACGGGAGGTCAGGGGGAGGGATGGAGGCGGGGAGAGGGCAGCCCGTGTAGGCCTTGTTTCTGAGGCAGTACTGCAGCAGCGCACCCCAGCAGCGATCCTGGAAGAGAGAAGCGAAGAGGTGGGGCGGGTGGGAGAGAGAGGAAGGATTTGCCTGAAAGAACCGAATTCATGTGAAGCAGCAAATTCGCCGGAAGTAAGATATTCATCTGAAGAAGCATATTCACCTATAGCAGCAGATTGACCTGAAAGAGAACAGCAGATTGACCTGAAACAGCAGATTCACCTGAAGAAGAATACTCACCTGAAGCAGCATATTGACCAGAAGCATTAGAGCCCACCTGAGCCAGGAGGTTGGGGTTGCCCACAATGATAAGCAGCTGCTGACATCCTATCCACTTAAAAGAGAGAAAGCTGATTTATGAAGACAGCACCCTCGTGATGAGACATCTCAAAGACGTATAGTTTTGAGGCGCCTCAAAATGAGACATCTCAAAGACGTATAGTTTTGAGGCGCCTCAAAATGAGACATCCCAAAGACGTTTCACCTGGAGCAGCAGAACCTCGCCCACCTGAGCCAGGAGGTTGGGGTTGCCCACAATAATAAGCAGCTGCTTGGCCCTCGTTACAGCCACATTGAACCGCTTTGGATTCGCCAGGAACCCCAGATTGTGCTTATAATCGAACTCCACATACTGCTGGCTCGATCTCACGGTCGATACAATCACAACCCGCCTCTCCTGCCCCTGAAATTCCTCCACACTCCCCACCTTCACAGCGTCCATCCCCTTCCCTCGCAGCAGCTGCTGCAGCTTCTGCATCTGCTTGCGATACGGGGTAACCACCCCAATGTCAGTCAAGGGAACCCGCTGGCTCCTGTAGCCCATTAAAGAGGTAATGTATTTCAGAACTACTGTCGCTTCAAACGGGTTGAAAAACGACGGGCTGTTGCCCTCCCGCTCATCCTTCCCCATCACCCCGTGGAAAATTATCGGGAATTCGTTTTTGTTGGGCAGCTCGTCCCACCGGCAGAGAGAAGATCGGACCATCTCGTCCGCACACGCCTCCAGCTCCCCCTCGTAAAACATTTCGTTGGGCAGCTCCAAAATTTTCGGGTGAGACCGGTAGTTCTTGACTAGTTTCGTGATGGCACTCGTGTTGTAACCGATGTAACTCCCATCTTCCTGATCTTCCGCGGAGTAAATGCCGAGGCTCGCCAGCCGCTCGAGGTACGAGCAGGGGAGCTTGTACTTCCGGGCGGCGAGGGAGCGCACAACCGGGCCCAGCTGCTTGTGGTCTCCGGCCAATAGGATGACGGCATGTGGCGCGGCATGGCATGCGATGGGGATGATGCCTTCCGGCTCGATGGCATGGCCTGCCTCGTCTATGAAGATGTGCGTGAAGGTGCCGCGGGGAACGCCTGTGTGGGGATGCAAAGTAAGGAAGGAGGAAGAGAAAGTGATGGTGATATTGCCACGTCATGTATGCGTGGACAAGTCACAAGTACATGTGGATCCTAACTAGACTGACCAAGAGCCTACCCATACAGGTTGAGCAGAAGGAGCATACCCATGCGGTAGAGCAGAGCAGCGGAGCAGCAGGTGACGGCAACGACCCGAGCGGTGTGGATCTCTGAGAGGGACGGCAGGCGGAAGGTTCCCGTGGAGTCGTCGTAGCGAGTGAATGGCAGCAGGTCCGTGTCCACCTCGTCCCGACCGCGGCTCACAGAGTACAGGCGCAGAATCTCACGGACCTAGAGGGAAAGGGTGAGGTGGGGGGATGAAACAGGGAAGTGGTGGGTTGGGGAGTGGTCGTAGCGATTGAAGGGCAGCAGGTCGGTTTCCACCCCGTCCCGGCCACGGCTCACAGAGTACTTTTGCAGCAACTCGCGCACCCGGAGTGGGGGAGGAGACAAGATACAAAAAAAAAGGTTGGGTTGCAAAGTGGTTGTCGCGAGTGAATGGCAGGAGGTCGGTTTCCACCCCGTCCCAACTGCGACCCATGGAATACAGGCGCAGCATCTCTCACACCTGGAGAGGATGGGAGGGGCAGGAAGGTCAGCAGATGGATATGGCAGCAACAGCATGTGGGTATGACTGCATCAGAAGATGGGTAATGCACCACCAGCATGTGGGTAACTCAGCAACAGCAGGCGGCTATGGCAGCACAGCCCTAGCAAGTGGGCAGTACCAGTGTCTGCTATACCCACGTTCTTGTGCTGTGCTGTCATACCCACCTGCTGATGCTGTCATACCCACCTGCTGATGCTGTCATACCCACCTGCTGATGCTGTCATACCCACCTGCTGATGCTGTCATACCCACCTGCTGATGCTGTCATACCCACCTGCTGATGCTGTCATACCCACCTGCTGATGCTGTCATACCCACCTGCTGATGCTGTCATACCCACCTGCTGATGCTGTCATACCCACCTGCTGATGCTGTCATACCCACCTGCTGATGCTGTCATACCCACCTGCTGATGCTGTCATACCCACCTGCTGATGCTGTCATACCCACCTGCTGATGCTGTCATACCCACCTGCTGATGCTGTCATACCCACCTGCTGATGCTGCCATATCCACCTGTTGATGCTGCCATATCCACCTGCTGATGCTGCCATATCCACCTGCTGATGCTGCCATATCCACCTGCTGATGCTGCCATATCCACCTGCTGATGCTGCCATACCCACCTGCTGATGCTGCCATACCCACCTGCTGATGCTGCCATATCCACCTGCTTGCGCTGTTGGAAGGAGCACACACGAGCGCCGCTCTAAACGCCCAACCAATACGTCCATATGCCTCACAGCACTTAGCGGGACCTCACAACAACTCTTAGCACCGCACACACAAGGATCATTAGACCTGCAGTGAGCCTTTAAGGCGGGGAGCAATGTTGTCAATGGTGCTGTTGGACGGCACACACACGAGCACCCGTGCTGAGGGCTAGACCAGTACTTCCCCATACATCACTAAACCCCACAGCACCTCACAGCACCTGCCAGCACCCTTCAGCACGTATGAAGGCACACGAACCTGCAGGTTGCCTTTGAGGCGGAGTGCGATGTTGTCAGTGGCGCTGTTGGACGGCGCACATACCGGGTACTTTGGCATCATCTTGTCTCAGAACAACCCACACCCTCACAGCACCTCACCTGCAGGTTGCCTCTGAGGCGGAGAGCGATGTTGTCAGTGGCGCTGTTGGATGGCGCACACACGAGCACACGCACCAAGGGCATCCCTTTCACCACCTGTTGAAGGGACGTACGGGTTTCATTGGGTGCTCAAAAATACCGAACTAACAAGACGCAAGCACACCACGAGCACACGAGAAGAGGGCGTTCCCTTCACCACCTGTTGGACATTATCGGCTCATCCAATGAGGGACTTACGGGGTTCATTGGGTGTTGAACATTATCAAACTACCACGACACAAGCACACACAAGCACACACGAGCACACACGTGGTTAGGAGGAATGTGCCTGGCCAGCCAGTCAGCCCAAAATAGTATTGATTGAAAGAGGGCACGATGAATAAGGGAGTCTGTAAAGACCGACAAAACCTCCCTGAGAGATTGAAATTCACTGTCAAGCCAAAAGCCTACCTGCACGATTGCCTATACAACGGACTTGGTCATGCCAGTGCCAGGCAGCCCAAACACAATGTACGGACGATGTAAGGGAGGAGGTGCGGCGGCTTGGGTCGGGACGATGTAAGGGAGGAGGTGCGGCTTGGGTCGGGCGCTCGGCTGCAGGCGTGAGCTGAGTGCACCAGCAGTTGTGAACAGTGAAAGTCCTTTCAGGCCTATATCCCACCCACCTGCAAGATAGCTTCCACGACGGTCTTGGTCTTGCCGGTGCCAGGCGGCCCAAACACGATGTAGGGAGGCAAGGTACGGCACGGGTTGACTTTGAACGTTGAAACAGAAGAGAACTTACCTGTAGGATAGCTTCGGCAACCGTCTTGGTCTTGCCGGTGCCAGGCGGCCCGAAGACGATGTAGGGTGGGAGGTAGGGCTCGGGCCGTGCGCCCAGCTGCAGGCGAGAGCGCACCAGCAGCTGTGCCACTGCTTCTCGTTGCTCCACGTTCAACTGGCGATCAAAGGGGCGAATGGCGGGTATCTCTGGAGAGAGAGGGAATGGGGGCACGGACGAGGACAGGATTGTAAAATAGGTGACTTTTGAGTCGACTCAAAAGTCACCTCGTTACCATGGCACACGGCACCATTTCTGGAGGGAGAGGGAATGGGGGCACGGACGAGGACAGGATTGTTGAATTTAGCGCACCAGCAGCGGTTGTGCCACTGCCTCCCTCTGCTCCACATTCAGCCGGCGATCAAAGGGGCGGATGGCGGGGACTTTCAAAACAGGGAAGGGGCAGTTGGGAGTCGGGTCGGGACCAATGCCCTTAACCCACTGGTCTTGTGACAAAAGCCTGACTAAGTTTGCTGCTCGCTGAAAATTATGTCACAAGACCAGTTGGGACTTTCAGAACAGGGGGGGGGCAGTTGGGAGTCGGGTCGGGACCAATGCCCGTAACGTAACCCACCAGCCAATGTCCTCCTCTGGCCCCACCAACCCACCAACACACCCACACACACCCTCCGATGCTGAAGAGCCTCTAGGGGATCTCTGAAGGCATCAGCACGTGCGTCAATGTCTGTTTAAGGCCTACCCGCCCACTCACTCACCAATACTGAAGAGCCTCTGAGGGATTTCTGATGGCATGAGCACGTGCTGCCCCAGGTGTCGGTTTGCGAGACCCAGTGCCAGGTGGCACGCTCTGACTGGGCCGCGGGGCACCTCGAAGCGCACGTTGAAGAGCTGGCCGGGGATGAATCGGCGGTGGAAGTCAGGGTGGAAGCGGAGGATGGCGCTCTCCCTCTCCACCCTGTGCACGAAGCCCTGGGGGAGGGAGAGCAGGGAGAATTAGGTGCATTTAAGTGGTGCCAGGTGTAAGCTGGATTGGTGGAAGTCGGGGTGAAAGCGCACGATGGCGCTCTCCCTCTCTGCCCTGTGCACGAAGCCCTGGGGGAGGGGGCGGTGGCGTAGTGGGGGCCGGGGGGGTGTGCAGCACATGCGGGTGAGTGGGTGATGAGTTAAAGTCGGGGTAAAAGCACAAGATGCCGCTCTCCCTCTCCACTCTGTGCACGAAGCCCTGGGAGCCAGAGGGAGTACGAACGAGCGATTCTCACCCTGCCCCAGCACGGTCAGCAAAACACAACAAGCTTCCGCTTTCTCCCCCTCACCTTGCACCAACCACAACACTCTTACTATTACCCATTGCGCCTCCAACATACCTGATACTCAATCCGCCTCCGTGCTCCCGCCTCGTTCGCAAACGTCAGATACACCCGATCACCAAGCAGCACAGACGGGCGTTTCTCCGCCAGCCCTGGCACCGTCAGCTGGTAAAACTCGCTCAGATTGCGACTCCCGCACGGCAGCACAGGGACTCCCCGCGTGTCATAGTAACGAATGTCCGCCTCCATTTGAAGTTCCTCCACATGCAACAGCAGCTCGAACCGCTTCTTGTACGTGTCTAGCGTCACAGGGCCTTCAAATCCCGGTAACTGCATCTCACCGTGATGCATCCCTTCATACGTCTCCCGAACCCACTCTGGAATTCCGAACCATGGGATTTTAGCCAATTGCTCGCCGGTGCGTTTCCACCCCTCGGGCTCGACACCTGGCAGGATTTCAGCGGGCGGCTCCTCCTCCTGCTGCGATTTCCGCTGCTGCGGCTCGAACGGCGCCGTGGGAGCCATTGACTTCGTCACCTGGTCCTCCACCAGGACGTTCAGATACCGTCCGATCAGGAAGTTCTTGAAATTGAACACCAGGATGGCTTTAAGAACTCCGACAGACGAGGGTTTGATCCGCAGGGTGAGCGTGTACACTTCATTCGGGCGAACGAAGAACCCATTTCTCGGGACTGCTTCCCCTGAACCGATGAAGTAGCCAGAGAAGCCGAATTTGATGTCCGGATTTTCACCTGCGAGTTTGCAGGAGGTCAGCAGCTGGGCTTCAGTGTGTCGATTTGTGACAGTAACGAAGCCTTCTAAAGTGGATCCTACATCCAATTTTACAAGCTGGGTCACGGCGCTTCCTCCTCCTGCTGCTGCTGCTGCTGCTGCTGCTGAAGGTTGCTGCAGTGACGCAAACGGGTAGCTTATATCAATGCCATACTTTCCCCTCTCGACATATTCACGCTGATCGCGAAGCTTCCTGGCAGCTACGCGCGCCTTGTGAGTCGTATCGGACGCGCAGTGAGCCTCCAGCTGATGGAAAGAGTCGAATAAAATCTCACAGGTCGGACAGTGAAATTTCCCTCCTGCCTTGCTCCTCTGTAATGTGGCGTAGTGTCGTCTTCCCGTCAGGTGCTTCTGCAACTGCCAGGGGTTTTGACAGGTGACATCACAGATCCCGCAGCGTCGATCCTGGCTCTCAGGTGCTTTCGCAGGTAGAGGCGCCGCGTTCCGCGCTCTGACCGGAGCGCCTGACCTCTCCCGCCACGTCACTACGCCTTGCTGGAAGACCGCCAAAGAGTGCTTCGATAAAAGGAAAAACACCAGCTGATTCGGTAAAACGACAGCTCTGCCAGGCGACTGAGTGAATTGCTGGTGGACTACGCCTAAATCCACGCGGGTTCGCGGCCAGAGGTTGCGGCTCGCAAGGTACTGACAGAACTCGCGAAGGTAGGCGGACACCGAGGCGGAATCTCGCGACGCCATGGACGCAGCTGTTGGCCGAGCTTGAGATGGGGGGAACGAGACTTGTATGCAGCAGTGCTTAACTTGCGAGTAATTCTGAGGGCCAGCTACCGAAAAGTCGACTGAGCTGGAAAAGATCGAGAGCAGGAGGATCTAGTACTGAGAAAGCGAGATGAAGATCTACGGCGACATCAAGTCCAGACTCAGGAACTGGTCTAAGAAGGCTGTAAGGAATTATTACTGTTCGATCGGATAGAAACCGAACTTTGGATTCGCGTTGTGTGTTCGACGGCGGCAGAATAACGTTGCTGCCGCTATTCCTTGCCCGTCCTCGCTTACAGAGGATCACACATCCTTCAATACCTCCGAAAAGGCGCGTGATCAGTAACCCGAGAAAAAATGTGTCACTTGATGTGAAGTGCATTGAGTAGTGGAACTAGATATCGTGATGAATGTGAATGGGATAGGTGTAGGATTAGCCCCTAATATGTGTGAGAGCTAGGAACAACTCGAGAAATGATGGGATGGTGGGGCCGTGTCCTGTATGTTCGTCTGAATGTGGCTCAATGAGGTGTTTTACGTTGTACAGCGGTCATTTATATATCTAGACTAGTTGAAGAGTATGGAACCAATATGAGCTTGTGGTTTGATCCAAATCAAGCCTCAGGGCGTATTCCTGCACTTCGGGTTATCGGCACTTCGGGCCATCCGAAATTGTGGGATCCAATCGAAAATTCGGAATCAAGAGATTGGGGTGCATTCCGATTTTCCGATTTGAGCCCACAATCTCGGATGACCCGAAAGGCTGATGATCCGAAGGGCAAGAATACGCCCTAAGATAGCCTTGGGCTTGGTTTCCGCACAACGTCAGGTTTGGCGAGGAAGCGTAAACCACAGGGTGCAAAAGAAATCATTCATGCTTTCCCGCCAATAGAAAAAACCTGGGGAGTTACTCGCTAGTTTCGCAGTGCCGCTCAGCTGCTGCGAAACATGTGGCGAAAAGCGCTGGTTTTCTAACATTGTCTTGAGAATAGTGCGTTCCATTAGGGTGTATAGCTTTTTTGAACCCGACGGAACGAACCGTGGACCGTACGTCGATGCGAAGGGTTACCATTATCGTTTAATGTCGTGCAGTTTTTCGCGAGGATGTGTGCGACGTCGCTACAAAAACGAACCGTCATGACACTTTTTCCCCTTTCCAACGACACGAAACACTGACAACGGACGGTCCGAAACACAAACGGACTGTCCGCTTGTCCGCGCACGCGATTGGCGGGCGAATTTGGATTTCAGCGGACCGCCTCGCTAGAACATTGGAAAATGCGGCTCGGATTCAAAAGTTGACATTGTCCAACCACAACTAGCCTCACTACAATACAAGAAGCCACGACATTGACTCACAACTCACTACTCCGAAGCGCTGAACTCCACAAGCGAAAATTGCGAAGGGTTGTGACTGGCGTTACTAGTGTACATTTGAGATGGCGAAAGGAATACCATCGCGGAACCCTAGCATGTGGAAAAAGTGTCACATATGCATTCGTACCGTCCGAAGTTGCAAACATTCAAATCGGACGGTCCGTTTCGTTATAAACGTACCGTCCGATTCCATATAATCGGACGGTACGTCAAAATCACAAAATGCAAAAAAGTTACACGCTCTTACAGGACCAGGTGTAGAATACAGGCAAGTGTTGTCAAATGTTGTAGCCTGTAGTGAGGTTTGTCTTAGGGGGTACAGAAGTTAGGGTTTGTCATATGTACCCCAACCAACATCAATGCAACACTCATTCCTCACTCTGACATGGTATCAGCTAGGTTAGGATCCTGTGGGATCCCGTTCCTCCGTTCTCCGTTCGTACCTCCCGAGCCTGATCCTACCTCTCGTTCGTACCAGTTTCGTAGTTACCGCGCCTAGTACCGAGCCTAGCGTCATCTCCCCCGTCGCGTCACGCCTGTTCCCCCCCCGTCGCGTCACGCCCGTTCCCCCTGTCACGTCGCGCCCGTTCCCCCCGTCGCGTCGCGCCCGTTCCCCCCGTCGCGTCGCGCCCGTTCCCCCTGTCGCGTCGCGCCCGTTCCCCCCCGTCGCGTCGCGCCCGTTCCCCCCGTCGCGTCGCGCCTGCCTGTTACCCCCCCCCGTCCCGTCGCCCTGTCCCGTCGCGTCGCCCTGTCCCGTCGCCCTGTCCCGTCGCCCTGTCCCGTCGCGTCGCCCTGTCCCGTCGCGTCGCCCTGCCCTGTCCCGTCGCGTCGCCCTGCCCTGTCCCGTCGCCCTGTCCCGTCGCGTCGCCCTACCCCGTCGCGTCGCCCTGCCCTGTCCCGTCGCCCTGCTCCGTCGCGCCGCCCTGCCCCGTCGCGTCGCCCTGTCCCGTCGCGTCGCCCTGCCCCGTCGCGTCGCCCTGACCTTTCCCCCGTCGCGTCGCCCTCCCTAGGCCCTGGCCTGTCGCCCTTCCTAGGCCCTGGCCCGTCGCCCTACCCTAGGCCCTGGCCCGTTGCCCTACCCTACGTCTTGGCCCGTCGTCCTAGCCCACTCTTCCGCTGCGACTGAGTCCTCTTCCCCCCCCGGTTGTTACTCGCCTGTTCGTTCTCACTATGGCGACTCCGCGAGTTCTTCGTTTCGACGCCGACGGTAGACCCCTTGACTTTTCCGTCTGGCTTCTTCGCGCTCGTCGTCTGTTAGAGAGTCAGGTCCAGGGGGGCGAGACCCTCTGGTCACACGCTACTGGTGACCTCCCCGAGCCCCCCGAGCCTACAGCTTTAGGCCCTGCTCCTGACGATGCTGCTACGGCTCGCTTTGCCCGTCAGCGCGCTGACCGGACGGCTTGGACGTCGCGTGACGCTGCGGCCTGCATCGCACTCAGCAGCCTCCTCCCTGAGTCCGAGGAGGTCCACTTTACTCAGGTTCGCACCGCTGCTGCGTACCTCACTGCGATTAAGGCCCGCTACTCTACTCCCGCTACTGTCTCTCTCGGCCGTCTTTTCCTCCCGTTCCTGTTTCCTGATCTTGCCTCGTTTGAGCGCTCTGCTGACTTGATCGCTCACCTCCGCTCGCTTGACGCTAGTTACCGCGCTGCTTGCACTGAGGCACAGCTTGCACTGCTTCCTCCCCCCATGGCGATTACTGTCTATTTCATCGCCACTAGCCTCCCTGACCGCCTTGCCTCCGTTCGTGAGGCGCTTCTGCTGAAGCACCCTAGTGAGCTGACTATCGAGGTCCTTGAGTCTGCACTCAAGGATGTCGAGAGCAACCTTCGTTCGGTAGCTGCCGCCTCTGGTACTGTATCCCCCCCACTCTTCCACGGGTGCACAGTCCCGCAGTTACCCACCTTCACTGCCTCTCTTGCCACTGCCGCTACTGACGCGACTGCGGCTGCTGTTACGACTGCGTCGCGGTCCCGCGGCAGGGGGGGCAAGAAAGGTGGTTCCGGTGGAGGTGGAGGCGGAGGTAGCGGAGGTAGTGGGGGTGCTGTTGCGACTGGCGGTGGTGGGAGTGCAGCGTCTGGAGAGACCCCTCGTGCAGCGGCCGGTGACTCCACTGCACCTGCTGGTGGCAGCGACCCTCGAGCTCGTCAGTCGCCTCCTGTACTGTCGGCCCCGCTAGGTGGAGCAGCGGCGTGGTACCAGGCTCAGCGTCAGCAGCACCTTCAGCAGCAGCAGCAGCCCCTTTCCTCCCAGCAGCCTCAGCAGCAGCAGCGTCAGCAGCTGGCTCCGGGGTCGGGGCTGCGTCAGCCCCAGCGCGGTGCTGCTTACCCTCCCTGCCCCTACCAGGTTCAGACAGGTCCTCGTCGGGGCCACCCTTGTGGCCGCTTTCACCCCCCTGGTCAGTGCTTTGCTCAGCTCACTGACACGGTCCGGTTGACCTACGGGGTTGGCGGTCCTGCTCCTGACTGGCTTCCTCTGGTTCAGCGCTACGGCTCCGCTCTGTGGGGCATGTCTGCTGAGCAGTTAGTTGATCTGATTAGTGCTCCTCATGCTATGTATGCTGTTGTTGACTCTAGTGTTTCTGACTCTGTTTACTCTGGTGTTGTTAGCTTAGGTGCTAATCTTGCTGAGTTGCC